TACGAGGCATGACTCACTGTCTCGGTATGGGATACCTCTGTTGTGTCGAGAGTGGTGAATGCTGCATTCGAAATCACTGAGTATTAATTGTCCTTCATTCATGTACTTCATGAACATAAAACATACATGGTGTTGATTAATTTGATCTCTGCTTTCATACCAATTAACCTGTGCAGGGGTTGGCGGCCAATCCGCTATTGTTGCTTAACACGCGTGTTATGACTAACGCCAAGTTCCGCAATGAGAAGGAGATGCTGTCTACGTCCACCAGTTCATTCCGGCTTGCGTCGGAGATAATCCGGACAGAGGGACCTATGGCTCTGATGAAAGGTGCACATATACTCGCAGGCAAACGGGTTTTGGACTGGTATGTTAGCGATTGCACTCGTGAGTGCGTAGTAATTTTTTGTCCTCACAAATTACGGAACGAATATTTCGGCGTTTAAATTGGATCGTTTTTCAAAGTATTCACACAATTTGGAGTGTTGTTTTGTCCTGTTTTCGGCCGAGGAACTGATTTGTGTGAAAATTACTAGGTAATGGGGTTAGCTGGTATGGTCAGTAGTTGTTCACGGCTCAATAAATTGTGACTAATACGCGCGCCCCAATGTTTCCGCCACCATTTGATAAGTGGCTGTCAGTTGCTATGTATATCATGAGATAGTAACTGTTTCACACGAGTTAATCCCAGGCCATGCCTTTGTGCAGTACCGTACCTTTCTCCTGAAAGAGCACACCATTGGCATGTATTCATTGGACCCATTGTCCGTTATAGGACATCCCGGTTTTTCTTCGTGGTGATTGTGGAGGAAGCCATTAAAAGGCGCACACAGGAGTCGCAATTGACCTTTGCCCAGAAGAGTATGGCCTCTATAGCTGGGGGCGTGCTGAGCTGCGCTGTGACAATACCATTAGATGGTATGTACGGGATGCACACACATACTTCTATATATACTGACGTGACAGACATGTACACCTCAAAAGAATAACACGCATACAGTTTGTAAACAGGATACTAAGATACTACCTACTAGCACATGTGCATTCGGGGGAACGGATGCCTTATTTATGGTATCATATAGCAACATACTGATACCTTTTGTGCAGAATTGCCCCAAATTGATCAGTGTAGCTAGCCGCACTTGACACAGAATAGCGTGGTTCGTGTTTGCGAGGGCGGTTTGAACTGTTATTTGATTGGGATGTGTCGTAACATACGTACCAGACATAGTGACACGGTTGCAATTACCCGTAGGGCGCACGCATCGTTCTGGGTATATCTTTCGAACGTCCGCCTTTCTCTCACCATCGAGACATAGTGCGAGTGCCTATGGGTAGCCTAGTGTGTGCACGCGTACGAGTGTAGCTTGTATAGCAGAGGGGACATTACTGTGTTTTTTATAAAGTCTGGTGTTAGTCATTGGTCATCTACTTGCACGGGCCTGAGAATTCGTATCAGCATCATCTCTGCCGGCCATGCAGGCCGATGTATATATATATATAGCTTCACATTCGGCTGTAGGGAGCTGAGGCGGGTGTTGTAGTATAAACTGGCTCCTTATTAGGTTTTGGTTATGGTAGACATGTGATACGTATGAACGGTAGACAGATCAATGAAGAGCAGATGTTTGAGTACATGTGTGTGTGTGTTTGTATATAATTATATCCTGGCCCTCCCCATATGTGTGAACATACACCCCTTCTGTACATTCACGGTTTATATATATATCCAAACCCCATGTCCCTCTCTTCCTGTATACCCTACCCTTAAGACCACCTACCATATCCCTTCCCCGCGCAGTTATGGTCGCCACGGTGCAAACACACACAAAGGCTGGACAGAAAGTGCGGCTGCTGGGCACGGGCTCCAGTATTCTGCAGAGTGGCGGCATTGGCGCACTCGTTGCGTTCTCGACGCGTGGATTTGTGGCCAGGGCAACACATGTGGGACTGGCGACGCTGTTAATGAAGACGATGTATGTGCTCTTATCTTGTCTTTTATTTGGGATAGTTAAGTTGTTTGCGTTTGATGCAGACGATGTATGTGCTCTTACCTTGTCTATTATTTGGGATAGTCAAGTTGTACACATTTTATGACGATGATGTAGGTGCTCTTATCTTGTCTTTTATTTGGGATAGTCAAGTTGTTTACGTTTGATGAAGACGATGTATGTGCTCTTATCTTGTCTTTTATTTGGGATAGTTAAGATGTATACGTTGATGAAGGCGATGTATGTGATCTTCTCTCGTCTCTCATTTGCGATAGTTAAATTGTATGCGTTTCATAGGCTATTATCTGGGATTGTTCAGTTGTATGTGTTTAATGGAGCTGATATATGTGCTTGGTGATCAATCGAATTTGTTTGGTAGTGTAGCCGGCGTATGTGCTTTTTATTTTTTATGTTTTATATCACTAGTGTAGACGATGCAAGTGCTCCTCTCGACTTTTATTTGGGATAGCTGAGATGTTATATGTGTTTAATGGAGACAAACGTGGGCGCTTGTTGGCCAATTTGTTTATATTACTATTTTACAGGGGGCGTGTTGGGGCGTGCGCAATTATCTTTAAATGGTACACCCCGATCAATAATTTAGCTTCTTTTCTATCTACGTCATGATAGTTTACTTGCGTTGCGTAGTATTTCCCTGTCTATTTATTTCACGATACCTTACTTCCTTTGCTGAGCTCTAACCTGCACTCTATCTCGTTTTCCGCACGCCCTCAGAACAAGCAAACTGTATGAATTGATGCAGAGTAAGAAACTGACCACAGATAGGCGATTAAGCGACAAGCTCAGTGTGTAGCAATCACCTCTCTCCCGTCTGTGACGGCGGGGCGGTGTATCCTGAGACGTGATGGTTATCTGTTGATGACCTGGGGCTTGTTATGTGTAACTCGATACTACTCGTTTGAGACCCGAGGGTGGTAGGTGAGTATGCGGTCGGACAGTGCAATGAAGTCAGCAGGAGGCTAGCTCATGGCGTTTGGATATGCATTTTTTTTCCCGTGGTGGGAGAAGAAGAGGGTCTAAGAGAAGCGTGGGTCAGTACGGAGGTAGGGATAAGGAAGGGTAGAGGGATTCGGAGGTGTGAATGAATGTGGCAGGCTTTGCACACACGTACGCATCAGAGATGCGAAATCTTAAGTTTTGTAATCGTAGAATTTAGGAGAGCCGGGAACTGGTGCATGGAAACGCTCCTCTCGGCACATGGACGTATAAACCAGGTTTTTAGATAGTGAAGAAAAATAATATAGAAATAAAATAATAGTAGAGCAACAAGTCCTGGTTGGCCTTTCTCACATCAAACTGATGAACACTCCGAACGTGTATTGGTATGTCATCCCACTCGCATGATTCCCTTGAACTTTTACCCCAGTAGGAGGTATAAAAGGGAGCAATAAGAGGTATAAAAGGGAACGATAGAAGATGCTTCTAGTCAACTGTTTCCTTCACGGCCCACCCTCCGCACCCTTTTTCATCTGTTTTCGTCGCACAGGCAAGTATGAGCAGCGGTCGTCACGCTTGAACACGAGCCGACAGATCGATCTCCGGTTGTGCTTGTATACGATGCTACGTCTTGTTAATGTACATAGTTGTATTTGTCCTTATATGTATGTATCCTCGCCAATATCAAACAAACAGCTCACTGTCACGCATGCTCCCATAACACCGGAGTCACCGACCAGAGTATGTACGGTACTTTGTTAGAATAGTCAGTGTGACACACAGTCACATTGTCGTATCATAAAGTATAAATAAAACATTTTGGGGGTTTTTTAATATTATAAAATATAAAAATATAAACAAAAAAGCAACAACCGCTGTCTACTCTTCTCCTCTCACTCTTCTCTCGTGTTGATGAAAGTTTTTTGGTTCTTTTCCTTTTTTTTCAAAACAAAACAATACGTCTATATCTCGTAAAATATATTTATTTATGTATACCATGATACAGACATGTCAATTTGGATGTATGTATGTCCATAGCTCGTGTGTACACCATAGGCGTGGGAAGCAGCATACGCCATGACGGTGACGCGGAGAGAGTTAGATCAACCGCCAGTGCAGACTGTGTTTGAGATCAAAGACCACAGTGCTTCGTCCGCATGGGAAAAGTTTTCGTCGCAGATCCGGAATGTTGTAGAGGAATGGAATCTGGAAGAGAGAAAGCCTAATACAGACTCAGGGGCCATCATTAAGAACGAACATGTGCGAACGAATTACCACTCTTATACCTTGACTTTTATGGTACGATGATCATTGTCTGCTCATGAGCTTCTATACTAATGGGTTAACTAATAAGATAGACGCCACAACTTAGGACAAAAAAACATTATGTATACAAGTATAACATTCACCTTTTTGACACGGCATCATATGACATTATATAT